CCTTCCTTCCTTCCTTCCTTCCTTCCTTCCTTCCTTCCTTCCTTCCTTCCTTCCTCATGGTAAAACTGTGACACTAAAAACTACATAGTCAAATGAAGAACAGTTCAGGCCATTTCCCCTTCTAGGTAGTGTGAAAGGAAGAAGGATAACACTCTGGAGGGTTTTTCTCTTTAGTTCTCAAAGGATGTGCCCAACGAAAGAGGTGTGATTGGCCATTGCTGTCCAGGCATGGGAGGGAGGGGAAAAGAAGGAAGGGAATTTACCATTCATTGTATATAGATGTATAAAAGTCTGTACATCTCCACAAACTAAATCTGGAATTTCATTTCTTCAAACTGATTTCAGCCACAGCTTTTTCTTTGCATGGGAGATGGGTGGCGGAGTTCATTAGATGAATTGATGGCCTTTTAGAAGAATCAGACCTGGAAGGGGTGGCCACGAATCCAATTATCTGCATAATTGAATTTTTGAAGGATATGTTTAAAGCTAAGATGAGGTCGCACTTTGAAACACAAACTGTATTATTGACAGCATTGGAGGCAAAGATAAATCTAAAGAAGGGAGAAGTTATGGAGTCTCCCTTTGTAGACTTAATAAATTAAGTTGTGCAGTACATGCGATTGGAGAGATTTCATTGGATTTAACATGCCATGTGCCTAGTAAGGTTAGTGAGGCTGTGAGGGTATAACTAGGAGGTAATGGGGCAAGACTAGAAAGACAATGAGTGGGTGAAGGAATAAAGAGGCAAGGTTTCATGATCGCAGTTTCTTTCTAAAGAGTTATTGTTATGGGGTTTATCAAACTGTCCCCTGGTTCCAGACTCTGGGTTCACCTCCTGGGACCTTTTTCCAGCCTCTCAGCATTCCTTGGTCTTCTAAAGCTTTTATGGCTGAGCTGAGAGATTGGGTTTCCTTGGGAAAGTCCGTTTGAGGAGGGGGGGGTGGTCTGAGTATACAACTGAGCCAGTGCCTTGTTTTCCCTGGGAAGATGTCTTTGGTGAGGGGCTTTTACCTTGCCCCTAAACTTCTCCTTCACTGCTCATTTCAGGAATCCAAATGAAAGTATCCTCAACATAGCAGCCCAGCCTCTATGTGAACAGTGGAGGGCAGGCCCCAACTCTCAGGGTCCTCCTTCTTATAGGAGGAGGAAGGAAATCTTTTAGGATTTCCTTCACAAGCAGAGATAAAATATTCTCTAAAGTATATGCTTTATGAGCAATCTTATTCTTGCT